ACCAGGCTGCGCAGCGTCTTCAACACCTCCGCGTTCTGCACACATCCACCGCTCACAGCCATCAGCTCAATCCCAATCAATACCGCCTCGTGTCGTGTCGTTGGTCGTGTCGGACCTCTTCGGTCTCGAGGGCCTGCATCTTGTCGATCTCCTGCTGGATGCGCTTGTTGAGCGCGCTCCTGCGGGCGTGGTCCTCCTGGAGCTGCTTCATCTTGGCGTCGAGCTCCTGGTACTGCTCGCGGAGTTCGCCGATCTTCTCCTTCTCCCGCTCGATCTGCTTCTGCCGGCTCTCCACCTGCCGCTTGTGCAGCTCCGCACCAAAGTACTGCTGCAGCTGCGCCTCGTTCAGGTCCATGTCCGAACTCTTCTTCGCGTACTCGCTGGCAATCTGTGACGCACGACACGACCAACGACACACACCGCACACACCGCACACGCGACACGTTCAGTGGCACACAACACAAGTGAGCGAGTGGAGGGGTGAGTGGCACGCACCTCGCGAATGAAGTCGGCGTCGGTGCCGACGAGGGAGCCGAGCTTGTTGGTGGACACGTTGCCGGCGCCCTCGATCGAGGCCAGGGTGCGCATGACGGCCTCCATCCGCTCGCGCTCAGCGCGGGTGGCCTCCTCCTGCTCCTTCAGGCGGTCCTGCTCGTCGTCGAACTTCTTGCGCCGCTTGCCCTCGCCCTCGCCTTCGCCCTCCGGCGGCTTAGTGTCGTACGTGTCGTGCGTGTCGTGTGTGCGGTGTCAGCCGACCACGAGCAGAGACGGCATATTGGGGGAGGGAGGGAGGCGGGCGTACGATGAAGGACGTGGTGCCCTTGTAGCCGTACTCGAGGAGGGTGGCCTGCACGCGGGACTCCTCATCCTGGAAGGCCTTGGCCGCGCCGCGCCTGTACCGGCGCTGCGGCTTGTAGCGCTCGGCCACCTGCAGGAAATCAGCGTAAGACACGACCGCACGCACACGCACACACCACACTACAGCACACGCACACACCGCACACGACACATGCGGAGAGACGCGCCTCGGAGACGAAGGTGAGGGCGGCGGGCGAGGGGGCCTTGACGGGGTCGCGCGCACCGAGGTCGTAGCCGGCGCTGCGGAAGCGGGACTCGGAGAAGAGACGAAGGAGGTCGCCCGTCTCGGCGCGGGTCTCGATGACCTTCTTCACCAGCCACTGGATGACGGGGTAGATGTTGGGCGTGTTGAGACCGCGGATCTCGTACGACTGCAGCGGGAAGGGGCACTTCATCCTGATGAGGGCCTCTTCGATGCGTTCTCCCAACTCACTACGTAATGCAGGAATCAGTGTCAGTCAGCATCCAAGCCGCTACGCGCGTGTAGTGCAATATCAAATACGAAATGAAACGAATGCGTGTAGAAATTGAAGTAAAGGAAGGGCGTACATCTTTTGCTTGATCTGCGCCTCCTCCTCAAAGAAGAGGTCGATATCGACGTCGATGTTACTCGCGGTGATACACCACGTGAGGCCGCCGATGATCTTATCGAATTGGGAGAGGGCCGAAATACGAGCCCTGAAGTAACCGGCAGCGAGCAGCATGTCGATGATCTCCTCGTACTTTTGAGCTTGCAGCTGATCCATCTTCACTTCGCTGCGCCCCTCACGATAATCCGCCATCGAAGCTTCTTTCTCTCTCACTTCGACAATTCGAATGCCTTCTCGCTTCCCCTTTCTTTCTTTTACATTTTCCCCTTTCTTTTTCAGACGTATTTTGTGTGTTTCACCCAACCAAACTCGCACGACCAGGCAAACAGAGAAATCATAATCGATGGTGGTTGTTCGTTAACCACAGAGTACATGGCGAGTGAAGACCCAGGCATCGAGCAAGCTCTCTTCTGTGTCCCACCGCTTCACCTCTTCCACCGGGTCCTTCGGCAACTGTGACGCCATGGCACCAGCAGGTCAGTGTCAGGTCGATCACCAGCTTTGGTCACAGAGCAGTTTTGACATTCGGGCGCACCTCCAGCACACGCGTGACACAGCCCAAGGGCTTGGCCATCAGATCGTGCAGGACCGACTCGGGGAGACGCGGCTTGGCCACCACCACATCACCACCACCGTCGTCAGCGCCCGCCTCAGCCGCCGAGGCCTCGGTGGTGCCAAGAAGAAGCTCCGGGCGTTGGCGGAGGAAGTCGATGACGAGCGCGTAGAGCGGGTGGGGTCCGTTGGTGCCCGGCTCCGGGGCGTAGCTGCCCGGAGCCACCATGTCCCGCTTGACCATGGCCTCGTAGATCGGCGTGTAGTGGTCCTCCAGCCGCCATCGCTTCATCTCAAATCGACAAGTGCGGTCCCTGTGTGTCGTGTCAGCTGGCCGGTGACTGGAGGCGAAGGCTAGAAGGCGGCGTCGCACGTGAGCTGGGCATCAGTGATGACCGCCTCGAGGAAAAGAAAGTGGCTGCAACCGGTCTTGCCGTACGGCTTCCCTGTGAGTACCAAAAGGAAAGAAGGCTGTCTGTAGGCTTCACTTGTTTGTGTTTTTTTTTAAAAAACAAAGGGGAGTGCTGGGCGCACGTACCTTGCAGCTGCAGGTAGTCCTCCGCTCTGCAGGCCAGGAGCGCAAACCACTCGTGCTCCCACGCCGATTCCTGCCACTTGGCCTCATCTCGTACCGTACTCGGGTCCACCTCCTCTTCTTCCTCCTTCTTTTCTTCCTCCTCTTCTCCCTCTTCATCTCGTTCTTCGTCTTCCGCTTTGGATTGCTCTTCTTCGATCTTCTTGCGCTCCTGCTTCATCTGCTCCTCCGTGTTGGGCTGTTTGTCAGCGCGATCGCCGTCGTCACCATCGCCATCACCACCACCACCACCACCACCACCATCATCATCATCTTCGTCGTCGTCATCATCGTCATCATCTGCATTACTCGTCTCTTCCGGCTGTTCTTCGGCGGGAGCCAGGTACTCCATCATCTCCCTCTCTCGGTCTGCGCATCCCTCAATGTACTTCGCCACGGCCCCGACCTGCACCACCCCAAACTGTCAGCACTGCGCACGGCGCCACACGACACGCACGGCACCACGCACGGCACGCACGGACCTTGGCTTGATAGGTTGGGCAGGCGGCGAGGTCGGGCATGAGACCGAGGCCGAGGCCGAACGCGCCGTAGGAGCCCATGCCATAGGTGCCCAGCGAGGTGGAGACGCTGACCACCTGCCGACCCGCCAGTCGGACCAACGGACAGCCCAACGACCTGTCGGACATAAAATCGTATTAATGTTCTTTTATTTTTATTTTTTTATATTATAATATAAGTAATACTAGTGAGGGCAATCGCGTACCGGAAGGTTGGTGGCGGATCGCGCACCTCGCTGGGACAGAAAAAGAAGCCGTCTCCGTCGTACTCCTCCGCCTCACGCAACGTGAGGATCACCTTGTTGTCGTCGTTGTCCGCCATGGCTGCCTGTCACACAAGTGGTGGGTCGTGCACGCAAGATCTTCTCTTTGTGGTGGCAGACAGAGAACACAGCTGCTGAAGTGAACTGAGTGGGTTATGTTAAAAAAAAAGCTCAGAAATCAAAGAGAACGCAAGCGAGGAAATTGGCGTGAACATGGTGATGATGGAGGGGGGGGGAAACAGACAGCTCTCTAAGAAAGCTCCAACCCACTGCTCAACCATTGGGTAGCAAGTTGTTGCTACATAAAAATTGCATTGCCGGATTACAGCAAACACAATGTCCAAAGAAGGAGAAACTGCCTTTTTTTTTAGTAGTATCGGGTCCAGCCAAAGACGCCGCGGGGCGCCATCTCCGGCACGAACTTGGTGAGGCGCTGCCACATGGTGGGCGAGACCCCGTCGTAGACCATGCCGCCCACCTGCTGGATCCTCTCGGGCATCGCCCAGCGCAGACACCGCAGGAAACGGGCCTTCTGGCCTGCAAGCCCATCCCACACACCGATTCAAGACCACAACGTTGAGAACAACAACCACCACCACCAACAACCAACAACCAACAACCAACAACAACCAACAACAACCAACAACAACCAACAACAACCAACAACAACAACCAACAACAACAACCAACAACAACCAACAACAACCAAGCGTGCACAATGGGTGATGTAGCTGATGAGCAGGCCGGCGGTGGTACGTACCCAGCAGGGGCGAAAAGTTGATGACGAAGGGCACCAGCACGGCCCACTTCTCGGCCGAAGTCGATTCCCAGATCTGCCTGGTCTGCGTGGAGTAAAAAAAAGTAAGATAATGCTGAGTGTAAGAGTTAAGAGTTGACTTGGGGAGAGGAGAGGGTACCAGCTTGCGGGTGATTTTGGGGTTAAAGTACTTCTTGGGCACGTGGTTGACGTAGAGCTCCTCATAGTCCAGATGCTCGATCAGGTGCTCGATCAGTGTCGGTAACATCTTCTTCAAGTCTTGCACGGCCTGCCGCCATCAAACAAACAAACAAACAAACAAACGCATTCCAAAAAGAATCAGTAAGTGCCCGCACACGACGTGTGTTGTGTGTTGTGTGGTGTGTGTGTGTGTGTGTGTGTGTGTGTGTGTGTGGTGGCATGTGAGTCGTACGCTTGCTCTCTGGCCGGCACTGTCGGAGTGAAGAAGGCTCTCCACAGCGCTGGCAGCTTCCGCCAGTTCGTGCTCGCCTTCGGTGTGTTCCTGTGCTCATGAGTGCGGTGTGTCGCGTGCGGCGTGTGCGGTGGTGCATGTGTGCGTGTGCCGTGTGTTATTCATGAGTCGAACGCAACAGGAAGTTGGATTGTCAGTCGTTCAGTAGGTACCTTGCCAACGAAGCGGCAGTAGCCGGGGAAGTAGCTGTTGAAGAAGGGATACAGGATCTGCTCCTCGTGTTGCGAATGCTCGGCGTGCATCATGTGGATGGACTTGAAGATGCGCACGAACCGCACGATGCTCCTCTCGTCGTCGGCGTCCAGGAATCGACCAAATCTGTTTTAATGATGGTAGAATGTGAACGAACTGCGTTCGGCATGTATGTGTGTGTGTGTGTGTGTGTGTGTGTGTGTGTCGTGGTGTAGTGCGTGTGTCGTGTGCGTGTCGTGGTGCGAGTGTGTGTGTGTGTGTGTGTGTGTGTGTGTGTGTGTGTGTGTGTGTGTGTGTGTGTGTGTGTGTGTGTGTGTCGTACCGTTCCAGCTTTTTGGTGGCGCCGCGAAGGGCAAAGTGGATGATCTTCATGAAGGAGAGCGGTCCCCACTTCTCGTTGGGCACGAAGAGGTCGGCCCGCTTCTGCAGGAGGACGAGGGTGTGGAGGGCGCACATGGCGACCACGAAGGTGACCAGGATGAGCGACATCCAACTGAGCGCCTTGAGCAGGCCCGAGCCGACCAACTGGTAGTAGTCCATGGTCACCATCGAGAGCGTGGCCAGCGGGAAAGTATAGCCCCAGTAGCTCATCTCGAACCTGTACCGCAGGTCTGCGGGTCAGCAACACATCATCGCTCGCTCATGCATGCGCTACCGCATACACACGCACATATCACCGCACACCCACACACGCCCACCGCACATGCACACTTAAAGCAGTGGCTGTACCTGTTGCGGCCAAAGTAGTGGTGAAGAGTCATGTAGGCGAGCACGAGGAAGATGCCGACGGCCGCGAAATAAAGCATGCTGTGTGTGGAATGCAAAACATTAAAAAAAGCATGAGTGGAGGGACAGGCAAATAACTGATGCTCATCATGTTGTATGTACCGAGGGTAGTAGTCCAACTCCCAGGGGTCGCAGTGGCAGTTGGCCGCCTTGATGGCCACGTAGGAGCTGCAGGCCACCGAGATGGCAGCCAGCCAGACGAACAGCGATGACGTCAGTCTGTCATCTGCAGCGAGCACCATGCGACGAGGGGTGAGCAAAAACGAGATACCAAAGTGATGGGGAGCGGTTGAGTACCCAAGGCCTCGCGGGTGGTGACGCGGAGGACCGACATGACGAAGAGCGGGATCCAATAGAGAATAGCAAAACCGTACCACAGCCAGGCGACCTGATGCGATGCCCCATTGCAGCGTCAGAAAGCCGAAGAGAGGAGTTCTGCCTCACTTAAAGTCAGAGAGACGAGAAGTGCGCACCTCGTCGTAGCCGTCGTCGAGCCGAGGCGCGACCAGCGCAGCGACGAGGTTGCCCACCACGGGGATCATCCAGTTGGGGTTGATGGTCTCAATATAGTGGGGCACGAGCGCCCAGCGCGCCACGGCGTTCACTCCCAGGAAGAGCTGAACCGGCGCCGCAATCCACTGTCCCTCACAGCACACACAGTTGATGATAAGACAGTGCGACGACTTTGGGTTGTTGAACGGAAGGAAGGCGTACAAACAAGACTTTGGCCAAATCGTTGTGGTCGCTCTCGATCAAGAAGGACAGCAGCAAAATGTCGATCGTCACGGCCGAGAAGAACGGACCCTGGACTGTTGTGTCATTCATTCGTGCGATGTGCAATGTGTGCGGCGTGTGTCATGTGTGCGGTGTGTGATGAGTTAGCGCAAACAGTAGTCTGTCTCATGCGGGATAGGTTGGTACTGGGGCAGTCCCATTCGGACAGGACCTTCCTCGGATAGAGGAACATCTTCACGAGGTACATCACGGCAAAGAGCAGCAGCAGCGCAGCGCCCGCGATGCCGAAGGTGGCCCACCAGCCCTTGCCGGTACCGGCGAAAACGGCGTCGCACACCCGCCTGGCCGAATGGTAAGCCACGGCAGCCACGCAAATAAATAAGTTATGTGGCCTGTGCGTACCACGCGGCAGCCATGCCCAAGATGCCCATGGGGACGCCCATGTAGGTGATCTTCATGTTCCTGATCGGGTTCCACTCGTAGCGGATCATCTCCTCGGTGTGCGGAGTGCCCAGCACCACGCGCCTCTCGTGCAGCCTGTCCAAACACGACACACAGCCAGCGTCGCAGAGTTAGTCGTGTCGATGGCCATGTCATTGGTTGGTTGGCGAGAGCGCGTACTTGCGACCGTCGTTCTTTTCGAGGCCCTCGAGCTCCTGCTCCTTGTAGGTGAGGTTGATGATCTCCTTGACCTCCTTCTCCTTGAACTTGGGCTCAAAGGTGGCCTGCTTCTTGCCGTCGAGCAGCTTGCCCCGCCAGATGCGCTGGCCCAGCGAGCGGCGCGTCGAATCGGTACCTCGCTTCTTGTCCTCGCTCTCGAGGTCAGACCAGCCATCGATCTCCTCCTGCGCCTCGCCTCCCTTATCCTTGCCCTTCTCGCCATCGCGGCCACTTCCGGACCTCTCGTCCATCTCCGAGTCCTCCTTCTTCGACTTCGCCTTTGGAGCGCCTCCGTGGGAGTTATCAAAGAAGATGAACACTTTGAACGGAGGGCATTTCTATTGGGGGCGTGTGCGTGTGCGGTCATGTGCGTGTGCGGTCATGTGCGTGTGCGTGTGCGTGTGGCGGTGGGCACCGGTGAGTCCAGATAGATGCGGAGGCAAGGTGCGGGAGGACTGGCTGGGGCATGTACGTCGCACAGCCAGGAGAAGACGACGGAGCCGATGGGCCACGAGCGTTCCTCGGCGAGAGCCTCCTCGGTTTCGTCGAGAGAGTCCTCACAGATGTCGAACACGTGGTGGCTGACGAGCTTCAGCTTGACGGCCATCGTGAACATCATGCAGCCGGCGCAGAAACCGAACACGCCCTGCGCTCGCGCTCGCACACGCACCACACGCACACGCACGCGCACGCGCACCGCCCGCATACCAGCCGATGAGCAATCATGCCCAAGAGCGTCGAGTTGGGGGGTGGAGCGAAATGTGCCTCCATGCCAGCGGCGACAGCGAGCGCGCCGAGGATGATCTGGCCCGTGATGAAGAAGCCCTCGCCATCGCCAGCGCCGTACTCGCCTTCTCCGCCGAGGAAGAGGAAGAGTGTGGCCAAGCCGGAGAACATGATGCCGCAGAAGGCGGCGAACTGCTTGGGGGGTCCGGCCACCATCTCCCTCTTGAAGTAGTACGAGAACAACTCCGCGATGGTACCCTGGATCGAAGCACGACCTCCTGCAAACAGCCTTCGTAGCGCCAGCCCCACAAGAATCCAAGATTGAACAGAATCTCAGAATTAAGTAGAATGGCTGAATGAAAGAGATGCGAATTAGAGGGGGGAGGCAGGTTGCACCTGAGGATAAAGTCGGCACACATGCCAGCGATAGCATAACGCATGATCTCATTGTAGCGAAAGATGATGCCAAGGATAGACACGACAACGACCTGGAGAGCGGTGAAGCGCGCGTTCACAGCGTTGACATTGGCTGGAAACCAAAAGAGCGGGCCGCTCCACGCCTTGGGGCTGCGACACAGCATATCGTGACTCTTCTATAGACTCTTCTCGCCGTCAATGCCAGGCCTTCTTCTCCTTCTCAAGAGCGTGCACCTTGTCACTCGGAACTGGCCTTGTACCTTCTTTCTTCAATCCTGGTCCACTAATGACTGTTTTGTTGACGATTCCTCCTGGTGAAGCGGTCTACTTTCCTAAACAGATCCTGGACACTCTTAGTTTGGCCCTTTTGGCAATTCTCTTCTCAAAGATGGTTAGACTTGCCTTTGATGGAGTGACATCCTGTCTTTTGTACGAACAAGTTCAGTTCTTCTTCGCGATGGGCTTCTTCTTGGTGCTATGGCTGGTCTTGGAAGAGGAAGAGGAAGAGGTGGAGGAGTAGGAGGCGATGAGGTAGGTGGTGCGGCTGACGGCGAGGAAGGCCGTGATCCAGAGGGAGAAGTGGGAGCCAAAGGTCCAGGTGGGCAGAGGGCCGTGGTGGGTGATCACGAACTGATAGAAGATGGCGCACCACAACAGGTCCCCAAACAGCAGGGCCTCAATCACCTTGGGCGTCGCGCGGGCTCGCACCTGCGCGTGTGTAACCAGAGTGGTGTCAATCCCAGAGTGGGCAGCCCTCTGGCCCAGAGCGCCGCACGTACCCCCATGTAGCCGAGCAGTAGCACCAGCGTGCCGAACTGGGCCAAGTTGCCGTTGGCCAGCTCGTCCTAAATAAATCAAAACATGTAAAATAAGTCTCCATTTATCAGCATGCTTTGTTTGTAGATAAGTATAGGAATTAATTAATTATATAAATAAATGCAATAATAATAATAAGAATACTGTTCTGTGTGAGCTAGGCGAACGATACCGAGGCAGGGAGGCCTTGCTGGGTCATGACAAAGGCAGGAAAGAACGTGAGCAAGAAGCCGCTCACAAGATTGAGCACCCCCTCCGCCACGAACACCAACTCGCACGCTTCGACCAGCTTCATCTTAATAAGCAAGAATGAAAAAAAAAATAAAAGAAAACAAATGATAAATAAATAACAATGGCCCATCAATACAGAAATAGCCAAAGCTATTTCTTTTTTCCTTATTTTATAAAGGATTGATCAACAACGCGAACACGCCGGTGCCGCAACACTCGCCTTGCCCAACCGCAAAGGGCTTCCCGGGGTGCAGCGAGGCCGTTTCGTGTGTGGTTCTGCATAAACGATTGACAGGCACCACGCCACGCGAAGATTGGATTATTTGCGATGAAGGACAAAAAAGAGAGAAGAAGCGATGTTGAGGTGGCGGCGACGAGCTACCCGTTCCTCGTGGAAGGCGCGGCCGAGCGGTGGCTAGTGCTCATTTGCAACAATCTCTCGTTCGGCCAAGTAGAGCTCGCGCGAGCCC